CTCACCTGCTGCTGCTGCTGCTAACAGAAGAGTAGCAAGAGCACCTCCCGGCACCAAAACAGCAAGGCACGGAAGGACGAACAGGACCTAGAATCCGCCGAAAAACTTTTTCCCAACCTTTTCGGCTTTTTCAATTTCCGCTTTTTCAATCTTCCATCAGCTCACCTGCTGCTGCTGCTGCTGCTAACAGAAGAGTAGCAAGAGCACCTCCCGGCACCAAAACAGCAAGGCACGGAAGGACGAACAGGCCACAGAATCGCACCGAAAAAGTACCTAACCTCTCTTCTGATTTCCGAGAAAAAAAATCTTTTTCCCAACCTTTTCCGCTTTTTCAATCCCATCAGCCCACCTGCTGCTGCTCCTGCTGCTGCTGCTGCTGCTAACAGAAGAGTAGCAAGAGCACCGCCCGGAACCAAAACAGCAAGGCACGGAAAGACAAACAGGCCTTAGAATCGCACCGAAAAACTGCCTAACGTCCCTTCTGAATTTCTAGAAAAAATGTCTTTTTCCCAACCTTTTCCGCTTTTGAAATTTCCGCTTTTTCAATCTTCCATCAGCTCACCTGCTGCTGCTGGCTGCTTTTGCTGCTGCTGCTGCTGCTGCTAGCAAGAGCACCTCCCGGCACCAAAACAGCAAGGCACGGAAGGACAAACAGGCCATAGAATCGCTCCGAAAAATTGCTTAACGTCCCTTCTGAATTCCTAGAAAAAATGTCTTTTTCCCAACTTTTTTCCGCTCTTTCAATCTTCCATCAGCCCACCTGCTGCTGCTCCTGCTGCTGCTGCTAGCAGAAGAGTAGCAAGAGCACCTCCCGGCACCAAAACAGAAAGGCACGGAAGGACGAACAGGCCACAGAATCGCACCGAAAAAGTGCCTAACGTCCCTTCTGAATTCCTAGAGAAAATGTCTTTATCCCAACCTTTTCCACTTTTTCAATCTCCCATCAGCTCACCTGCTGCTGCTGCTGCTGCTGCTAACAGAAGAGTAGCAAGAGCACCTCCCGGCACCAAAACTGCAAGGCACGGAAGGACGAACAGGCCCTAGAATCGCACCTAACGTCCCTTCTGAATTCCTAGAGAAAAAATGTCTTTTTCCCAACCTTTTCCGTTTTTTCAATCTCCCATCAGCTCACCTGCTGCTGCTGCTGCTCCTGCTGCTGCTGCTGTTGCTGCTGCTGCTGCTAACAGAAGAGTAGCAAGAGCACCTCCCGGCACCAAAACAGCAAGGCACGGAAGGACAAACAGGCCCCAGAATCGCACCGAAAAACTGCCTAACGTCCCTTTGAATTCCTAGAAAAAATGTTTTTTTCCTAACCTTTTCCGCTTTTTCAATCTCCCATCAGCTCACCTGCTGCTGCTGCTGTTGCTGCTGTTAACAGAAGAGTAGCAAGAGCACCTCCCGGCACCAAAACAGCAAGGCACGGAAGGACGAACAGGCCACAGAATCGCACCGAAAAAGTGCCTAACGTCCCTTCTGAATTCCTAGAGAAAATGTCTTTTTCCCAACCTTTTCCACTTTTTCAATCTCCCATCAGCTCACCTGCTGCTGCTGCTGCTGCTAACAGAAGAGTAGCAAGAGCACCTCCCGGCACCAAAACTGCAAGGCACGGAAGGACGAACAGGCCACAGAATCGCACCGAAAAAGTGCCTAACGTCCCTTCTGAATTCCTAGAGAAAAAATGTCTTTTTCCCAACCTTTTCCGCTTTTTCAATCTCCCATCAGCTCACTGCTGCTGCTGCTGTTGCTGCTGCGTTGCTGCTAACAGAAGAGTAGCAAGAGCACCTCCCGGCACCAAAACTGCAAGGCACGGAAGGACGAACAGGCCCTAGAATCGCACCGAAAAACTGCCTAACGTCCCTTCTGAATTCCTAGAAAAAATGTCTTTTTCCCAACCTTTTCCGCTTTTTCAATCTCCCATCAGCTCACCTGCTGCTGCTGCTGTTAACAGAAGAGTAGCAAGAGCACCTCCCGGCACCAAAACAGCAAGGCACGGAAGGACGAACAGGCCACAGAATCGCACCGAAAAAGTGCCTAACGTCCCTTCTGAATTCCTAGAAAAAATGTCTTTTTCCCAACCTTTTCCGCTTTTTCAATCTCCCATCAGCTCACCTGCTGCTGCTGCTGCTGCTGCTAACAGAAGAGTAGCAAGAGCACCTCCCGGCACCAAAACAGCAAGGCACGGAAGGACGAACAGGCCCTAGAATCGCACCGAAAAAGTGCCTAACGTCCCTTCTGAAATCCTAGAACTGCTGCTGCTGCTAACAGAAGAGTAGCAAGAGCACCTCCCGGCACCAAAACAGCAAGGCACGGAAGGACGAACAGGCCCTAGAATCGCACCGAAAAACTGCCTAACGTCCCTTCTGAATTCTTAGAAAAAATGTTGCAGAACAGAAGAGTAGCAAGAGCACCTCCCGGCACCAAAACAGCAAGGCACGGAAGGACGAACAGGGCCTAGAATCGCACCGAAAAACTGCCTAACGTCCCTTCTGAATTCCTAGAAAAAATGTCTTTTTCTTAACCTTTTCGGCTTTTTCAATCTCCCATCAGCTCACCTGCTGCTGCTGCTGTTGCTGCTGTTAACAGAAGAGTAGCAAGAGCACCTCCCGGCACCAAAACAGCAAGGCACGGAAGGACGAACAGGCCACAGAATCGCACCGAAAAACTGCCTAACGTCCCTTCTGAATTCCTAGAGAAAAAATGTCTTTTTCCCAACCTTTTCCGCTTTTTCAATCTCCCATCAGCTCACCTGCTGCTGCTGCTGCTGTTGCTGCTGTTAACAGAAGAGTAGCAAGAGCACCTCCCGGCACCAAAACAGCAAGGCACGGAAGGACGAACAGGCCCTAGAATCGCACCGAAAAAGTGCCTAACGTCCCTTCTGAATTCCTAGAAAAAATGTCTTTTTCCCAACCTTGTCCGCTTTTTCAATCTCCCATCAGCTCACCTGCTGCTGCTGCTGCTGCTGCTGTCGCTGCTGCTAACAGAGTAGTAGTAGTAGTAGTAGTAGTAGTAGTAGTAGTAGTAGTACTAGTAGTACTAGTAGTAGTAGTAGTAGTAGTAGTAGTAGTAGTAGTAGTAGTAGTAGGAGTAGGGGAGTAGGAGTAGCAGCAGCAGGAGCAGTAGCAGTAGCAGTAGCAGTAGCAGTAGCAGTAGCAGTAGCAGTAGCAGTAGCAGTAGCAGTAGTAGTAGTAGTAGTAGTAGTAGTAGTGCTAGTAGGAGTAGGAGTAGGAGTAGGAGTAGTAGTAGTAGTAGTAGTAGTAGTAGGAGTAGGAGTAGGAGTAGGAGTAGTAGTAGTAGTAGTAGTAGGAGTAGGAGTAGGAGTAGGAGTAGTAGTAGCTGGCGGTGGCAAACTCTTGTCTTATTCCCTGGCGCGCTCCCCCTTGCGTCAGCCGGGGTCGGCGGATATAATATGAAGAACCTCACAATGTGTTAGGTATGTATATTATGAGTTGGATATGTATACTATGTGTTAATGATTATTATATAATATGAAGATATATGAAGTGTGTGTGTGTGTGCACATAGACATATGACATATACCTAGGATTTTTATTGGAACCTATATCATCCACAATAGCTAGGCCCTTGGAAACCGAACCGCAATCAATTGGATTTACAGAAGCCCACTCCGATACTGAGGAGCTTCTGTTGTCGTCCCTTAGCGACAAGGACGGGAGCACCGGGCCAACCACACCAGAAAATTTTAACCACAGAACTGGCCAAAGTGAGGAGCTCTGCATTTTTGTTCACATCCAAAAAATGAGAGATCAAAAATGCAAAAAAACATGCCCAAAAAAACAGAGTTGGTGATTTTTCATTGCCCACAGGACACCATCGTAAGATGGGCTGCTGCAAAGGGCATCGGTCGCATCACCAATCGGTAACGCAACTGCATCAGGGGATGCACCAGTCGCTGCACTTGGCCGGACTTGGCGTTTTTTTTGGTTTAGAACTACTGTGCCATGTCATGGTCAAAGGATGTCCTGGCGGATTTTGCAGTGTTTGAGAATCCTACTTGCTCATGGTGTCTTTAGGAATAGGTAAAGATCCGCGAAGCGTGGACTAAGCGTGGATGTGTTGACCTGAAAAACTACTGCTCTTGTTGTACCAAAAAGGATCGGAACAATAGTAGATGCCAGTAGGAATAGTGTTTTTTTTGTGGTTTGTTTGGACAGCATGGTTTCCAGCCAACTCTCCCAAGTCTCTTGTTGGATGACATTGTTGTCCCACTGTGAAGCAACAATAAACTTGCATGCTTGGAACAACAATCGCTACAATAGACTCAGAGCTTCAAGCTGGTTCCCTAAGAGGTTTGGCTGATTTTTAAGGCACTGGTTTACCTGTCTAGGTACAAAAGTGCCGCAGGGCACAATTTCAGCGCGGGAACCGGAACCGCCGCCTGAGGCTCTCAAGAGACTTTGGAGACCAAGTTTTAGAGTCGCTGCCCGGTGGAGAATGGGAGCGTCTCAAAGAGAGCAGATTTCAGATGATCATTAGATGATCATTGGATGATTTCAGATGCTTTTTGAGATGATTTGTGAGATGATCATTCAGTTAAGAGGCTTGTTGAAAAACTGTTTTTTTTCAAATATGTTCAACCAAAACCGGAGTCACTGTCCTGGCTATGCCATGTGGCGCTATTGGCCCTATTATGTAATTATGTTGCTCACCATCGTGCAGTATGATGTGGCCACAACCCTGCATAAATTGATATAAATTGTATGACTCCTCGTTTGCGTCCAGATATATGGACTTTTGGAAAAACATGCTTAATTGTCCCTTGAACAGACATTCTATGCATCTATCCTTCCATCAAATTCTCCCGCTGCTTGTTTACCTGCACGTCCACATTGACTCCAACCTAAACTTCGCGGTGTATCTATGCATCGTTCGATTTGTCTAGGGATACAAAGGGAACAAAAGAAATCAAAAGAAAAGGAAGGAAAGAATCACATCGAGTGAGGTCCCATTTGGCCCATTTGCAACGCAAATGGCAGCCCCAGATGGCGAGGCTCTTGGAGCGTTGCTTCTCCTTTCGCGAGACTGACAAGGCCTGGCACGGCGGCTGCTTGGCCCTGGCAGAGCTCACGCGCCGCGGCTTGCTGCTGCCGGAACGTCTCAGCACTGTGATGCCCCTGGTGTGCCTCGACAGAAATCTCTGGTGTTGTTATGGCGTTGAAAATTTTATATTTGCTTATTATTGCTTATTATTGCTTTCAGTGTTGGAATGGACAAGATGGGCAAGAGCATTGTTATTGAGTTATTGAACACTAACTCCCATCTGGATGGGTGTGCCTACTGATTGATGGAACGTAGGATTTCCTTCTCACCGAGGTGTCAAGCCCTGCACTTCGAGCAGGTCTCAGGGAATTTCACCTCAGGACAGTGCCTTGGACCAAAATTGGACCAGAGAAGAAGCCAACATCCATCAGTACCACCAGTTCGATAATTTCCCAAGAGATCCCAAAAATCATTTTTCTGATTGCAAACAGGGATGTATACAGCCGAAAAAGGGTGAGGAGATCAGGGAGACCACTCTTGACATGAAGAGTGCTAGCTTCCGAAGTTGTCTGCAGGCATGTGCGGGATGCAGCTTGCTATGTTTGCTGGGCCTTTGCGCGTGCGTATGCACCAGATGTGCTGCAGCCCTATGTGGTGAACTTGGCATCTGCTTTGATCCAGGCATCCGTGATCATGCCAGGAAGGGCATGGCATTGGGATGGGCGTGACAGGTGAGGCCTACATCAAAATGTGCCGTCAAGGCATCCTATGCGAAATGTGTGTTTGTATGTTTTTTTTAAAGGTACTGTAATGTGAAAGTAGGATTAAGAAATCTGTTCTGCCCAGATGCCCAGATGTTTGCGGCTAAAAAATGGAACTGGACAGTCTTCCCCCCGTTCAATTTCAAGGTCTCTGTTCTCTATGCTCCACTCATTCAAAGAGCCCATCCTTCTCAGTGGATTTTCTACCTATGAATGTTGCTTTGCACCTTTTCATCAAATTGGATCCGCTATTTCACCCAGAGTTTGGTAGGGGGTCCTTCAACAACCTTGTCAACCTTATTGAGATTGAGAAGGCCGAAAAGTTATTGATCCGACCCCAAATGGTAAACATTAGAGACGAACAAAAGATGGGCTATGCCGGGTATGCGCAAAGTCGTAACGGGCAACGGTCGCAACCGCAATGGCTTCAGGTGGCGGTCTTTGACCGTGAGATCAACTGCCGACGCGCCGCGGCCGCTGCAGTACAGGAGAACGTTGGACGTCAAGGAACGTTTCCAGATGGCATCGAGGCGCGGTCATGGTATCACTGCGCATAACAGCTGTTTGGTTCCCTACCCGCCCTACCCACATCCTACTTGATTGTGATGTACGTGTACATATTATACGGTAACGACATTTAAATATGTGGAGGGCAGGCCAAACCGCGAGGCCCCGGAGGTAGTATGAAATACCAGTTCGTAGATTTAAATGTAGTTACGGTATGTTTAAATGAATTGGATTCCGTATGTTTAAATGGCTGTGCGGGCTAAGGAAAACCTTCCCGGAGGTAGTCTAAAATACCTGTTCGTATATTTAAAAATCCGTATATTTAAATGTAGTTACCGTATATTTTATATATTACATATATTTACATATAAATAAAATAAATATAGATGTAATATATAATAAATAAGTACTATTATACTATAGTAAAGGGCTTGCATTCTTGAATCCGTAAAATTTGTGCAGTTGCTCGCAGGATTTTGTGTGAAGAGCGATGGAAAAGCTAGTTCGGACCTGGCCATGATATTTGCCTGACATAGCAATGATATCTACGATGATGATGATGATGATGATGACGACGACGACGATGATGATGATGATGATGGTGATGATGATGATGATGACGACGATGATGACAATGATGACGATGATGGCAATGATGACGCTGACGAATGCCGATGATGACGATGACAATCACGACGATGATGGTCATGATCATGATGATGCTGATGCTGATCTTGATCATGATGCTGATGCTGATGCTGGATGAGGATGATGAGGATGAGGATGAGGATTTTGATGATGATGATGATGATGATGGTGGTGGTGGTGATGATGATGGTGACGGTGATGATGGTGATGATGGTGATGATGGTGAAGGTGTTGGTGATGGTGATATTCAAGTTTTTGGAGGGTTTCTTTGCGCGAGTGTGGCCGGGTCTTCTGTTCATGAGAAGTGGCACGCACACATCCTACCATCTGAAAATCACAAAGTTGTCAGGCGACAGGGCGGGAGAAATATAAACTTGCTGTTGGTCCCAGTTGTGATTTAAGGATAAGAGTCAACACATTCCCGAATTGCTTTCCTTGAGTGGTTTCATCATTGTTTTAGAATGCTCGTTCCATCCTTCTGTGGGGATCGCAAGGATGCCAAGGGTTTGTTGCATCAGGACCCAAATTGGATCACTTCATGATGGATACTGATGGATCATGAATCATGAAGTCATTTTCTCGAGGTGGTGACTATTGCTGACTACTGGACTCTCTCCGGCCGACGTCAGGCTTACTTAGAGGCCGGGCGATCTTATGTTGAAGTTTCCGACACATCGGGTCAGCATTGCACGGCGTTGAAGATGGGCTTAGGTGTATCACAAGATTATGGCACCTGACCAAAGGCAGGTTGAGACATGATGTTTCACTGGATGGAAATAGTTTGACACGAAGATCTCGGCCTCTCACCCCAGGTGGCGCCAAAGATTGCGATGCTGGGCAACGGTGGATATCGAAAGGCCCTCATGGAACACCTGGTGGACAGGAAATTGTCGCATCAAGAGCCTTGGCGGAAGGTCGACATATATTCACAATTATTCACATGCATTAATCCATCTAAATCTCAACCCATATGTTGCGGGGTCAGAATGTGTATGTGTTTGTCGTAGTTCATCGTAGTTCGTGATGTTTTCATTTTTTGTTTTGCGAATAAATGAAGGAAATGGTGAGTCACGGGCTTAAGACCCAAGTTTCAACAAACTTTTCCCAAGTATCCACAGAAGTTTGTCACTTGTCCGATCTCGGTTGCAGTGTGTTCCCTGTGTCCTCCACGAAACTGTCCCATTTAGCAGATATTTACCCTCTGGTTCTTTAACATAGCCATGGAAAATAGCCCATTTATAGATGATTTTCCCATTAAAACCTCCATGTTTTAGGGATTTTCCATGGCTATGTTAAATAACCAGAGGGTAATAATATTTCATTCCTGAAGTTGGAAAATGCCAAGAGTCACATTGAACAGTCTGGAGTGTTGTGGCCTTGAAGCAGAAGGGACGGTTGGTGAGGGGAATTGACAAAATAGGAACCGTGTCCAATGCGGAGATGCGGTCAGTGAAAGTTCAGCACAAAAACCCAACAAGTAGCCAATGTTCAAAGAGTTTTTTCAAGATGTTCGAAGAATCAAGTGCACGAAATGCCAAAGACAAGACATTACTCTCCATAGCGGTCACCGATGGTCACCGTGTGCCATCGGTCATCCAATCAAGTAGAACCTTGCTTTGAGTGGCAACGCCGCCAAAAAAGGTGCTTCAGGCTTGGTACTATACACATTGTACATTGATATTACATTCAGCAGACAGATTCCTCAGAGACCTGATGATTCCCGCAATGTTGCAATGAAAATGAGGACATGCAGATCCGACTGCTTGCAGCTACTTGCCGACACATTGACCCTGGGAGTCTCACGGGGTCAATTTGCATCAGCTTTGCAATGGGTCAATATGGGTCAATACACATATCAAAGAAAAAGAGAATGACGAGAATGGCATGAATATCAGGGAAGTGCTGGGAGTGGGATGGTATTGGGAAGTAGCCAGCTTGACAGTGGGTCAGTACGCTTGACATCTTTTGGTAATTCGGCGCCATCTAAATGAAGGTTCTCCGAAAAACTCTATGGCCCAGCTCCCAGCTCCCCAAAGCTGACAAGATAGGGCCAGATAGGGATGATCCATCCATTGGAGTCTCAGCTCCCGAAGCGCTCAGGCACAAGCTCTCGCGAAGTTGGCACAAGACCCGTCGGAGGCAGGAAACAACCACCTTGAGCAGTTTCGGTTTCCAGACTGGATCATGATTTCAATTCATTTTTGGGAACTGTGGGGACAGTCTTGTTTTTTTTAGTTTGTGGGTGAACCCCCTATGTGCATTCGCTTGTGTCTCCCATTCTTGTTGGTGCCTGCTTTCATTGGTTCTGATGTGCTGATGTTGTCTTTGGTCCTTACGCAGGGTCAAAATTTTTAGGCCGATCGCCGCTCCCAAGGCTCCCCATGAAGGGTTTCCAGATAATTTCTTGAAGTACGGGCAGCAAGCAAAGCAAAGTTTTTGGTTAGTGAAGGTGCAATCCAACCTTTCCCAAACTATTTCTGATGGTTCCGGGTGATTCCGGGCACAGCACGATGGTTGAAATGTTGGGTCGCCAGCCACTATAATATAACCAACTCGGCTCTGTCATCTTGGATGGTGTTTCAGCCGCATGTGTCTCGCCATGGGTACTGGTTCTACTCATTCGCCGCACTGTGCCTTTCTAATATCCTTCATGGAATACAGAAGCCAGGCAAAGTTGTGAACCATTGCGAAATGGAGAGATCTGCCTCCCTTATGAGAGTCATGTTCAAGTCATGGTGACAAGGTCAGATTGGGGGACACTAAACCCATCAATATCAACCAGGCTAGATATTTCCACAGGTGAAAAGATATGGCCATTGGTCACATTGTTTGTCTGAAAGTTGGATACCCCCTAAATATCCCTAAATGGTGATGCAAGTGATGCAATTTTTTCATGATTTTCTCATGATTTGGTGTTTTAGTCGGTCCAATTTTGGTTCTTTCCGGAGGAGACCTTGGACTTTTTGAACTCCACGGTGTTGCCACGGCTCTTGGCCCGGGCCAACGATGCCACCAACGGCACCAGCAACGGCACCAGCAACGGCACCAGCGGCGCCCACTGCGTGGCCGGGGCGCCCCCCACTGGGACTGTGCAAGCGCGGCATGGAGCAGTGGAGGGCGCAGCAGCTTTAACGGAGGTCATGAAGGAGACTTACAGACCATTGGGGATGACACATTGGAGATGGGGATGATGATGAGTGCAATGGTCCATGATGATGATACATCTCCAATGGTCCAATGGTCATGGTGGGGAGAGTGCATGACACATTGAGATTGGGATGACATTGGGGGAGACTGTTGAAGAGATTTGCATCGACGATCAACGATCAATGCAGACGAAGAGCCAGTTGAACCAATCCCCAACATGAAATATTGACTAAACTTCCCAACAAGATTTGTTCATTTTTCGGACACCATACTAAGTTGAAATGTGAAATCACCCACGCCCGTACAGTTGATGGGCCTTCCCTGGTTGTGTCGTGCATGTTGTTGGGAAGATTGTGATCTTTCGGGTGAGTTTTTGTAGCATTAAAGAGTTCCGTAACATCAATTGGGAGTGAGACTCGGTATTTTCTGGGGTTTACAGGAAAACAGAGAAGGGCCTGGCATTGACTAGTTTGCAAGGCAGACAAAAGACGTTGAATTAGTTTCATGTGGCCATAGTTGCACCATAGTTGCACCTCAGCAAGCGAAATAAATGGGTTCATCATGGGTTCATCATGGTTTCATCATGGTTCACCAGTATCAGTATCCCTATTATCCCTTTCACAGGGCCATGTTCGAGGGCTCGGTACAGTGCTGAGAGATTCTGATGTGAGAGCTTTCATGAAATGATGAAAGGGAGAAGCAGAAGCGTTGTATTTGTTGTGGTCTAATTTGTCGGGTAGCAATCTCTGTCCTTGTCCATTTTTTTCATTAGACCCGTTAGTACATACTCGATTGTATGGTGCGATGTGTTTTGCGTACATGGGTTTGCTTGTCTTCAGCACAAGCCAGTTTCACTCTTTTTTTGTGACTCAGCACTTGTTGAGAATCCGCTTTTCAGTGTTCGCATTGGTATCAGTACAGTCCCGCAAGTGTACACAGCAAATCGTGAATGATACCTCCCTTGTTCCGCAAGCCGCAGGACAAAGTATCAGCGGAGAACCAGACTCAGATCCTGCATTGCATTTAGATTGAGCATGCTATCACACGATATCATACATAATATGGTTTAATATGGCCTTTTTTATGGGACATGCCATAGCCTTGCCAATTAATCCATTGGTTCATCCATCACAACTCCATTTCCATTGGTTAATCATATAGCCATAATCGCCATAATCCATCATATAACCATACTGGTTGGTGCTTTGGAACATTTGGATTATTTTTCCATATATTGGGAATGTCATAATCCCAACTGACTTTCACTCCATCATTTTTCAGAGGGGTAGGTGGCCCCCACCAACCAGTTATCCATTGAGATTCCCATTATATAGATCCATTATAGATCCTATTCAACCACCATGATATCCCATTAAACCACAATTAAATGCCATTAAACCACCAACCAGCTTCGCTTCGAGGATCCGGAACCTGGTTCCAGCGCTGGAGAAGGCGCGTGCCTATCGCGGCCGTGGCGGGGAGGTGATCCGTCAGGCGGCGTGTCGAAGCTCGGTGTGTCGGTCGGGATCTGGTCGGGGGATCCAATGGGTTAAGAAATGGATCAACCATTGGGTGAACCCATAGGATGGATTATATGATGATGGTTGATCCATTATATTGGGTTAACCTATATGATGGATTATGGTTAACCTATATTATATGATTATATGATGGGTGAACGGTTAACCTATATGGATTATATGATGGATTATATGATGGAGTAACTATTAACCAGTGGATTAAGAAAAATGGACATGGAGATATGATGGATGAACCAATGGATGAATTGATGGGAACCATAAAATATGAGCATTAAAGTAGGGGAAATATGATAAAAAATGAGGAAGCAATGGAGTTAAAGGATGTGGTAGCCTGGTTTCAGGCCCACTAACCATGAGCCGATCATGAACCAAATGCAAATTTGGTCCAGATCCACAATGCCATGACCTGCCATTGGGAGAGGAATGGAGCAGGACATCAGCTGATTGGTGCCTAAACATGCCTAAACCGGTTCATCACCTCTCTCACGAAGTTCTTTTTCAGATGGCAGTGATGGAAGTGCTTGCAATCCTGGTTATGATCAACCTCGGCAGCGAGTGGGACCAGGAAAAAAATAACACTGACCTATCTGGCAGTTACAGATGCCCAACCACCATCTTTGTGTTTGCTTGTTCTTGGAATTTGGTATGAAGCGTTTACACTTGCAATTCCTGAAGTTAAACACCCACGAAATATCGATGATTTGTGCCATGAACAATCCGCATTCCACCAAGGATTGCTTGGACGAATCGCTGATACAAACTGGACATTCAAAGAAGCCACGGCTACAAGGTGTCTTTCAAAACTTGATGCAGTGATTGCTCGAATCACCACTTGGAACTGGAACAGCACACTTGGGCACTAAATCACACACCTAACAGCTTGAGACCGCAACCAAACCTGAAATGGATCTCCAAACCCGCATGGAGACTCGATAATTTTTCACCTGTGTTCGATTCATGTTTGTTTCAGGTTTGCCAAAAGCTTAGTTTGGACTGGTCCAATTGACTCTGAAGGCAATGCCTGCGCCCAACAGATCATTCAACCTGATGGTAAGGGGAAAAACCTGAGACCCTTTTTCTGTGCTTTGTGGAAAGGGAAAAGTATTCACCACCTTACCAGCTGGTCGGAATCAGAAGCAACAACTCAGATTTTTTTCGATGCTGACCTAGTCCCAGGATGTCCCAATTTGTGGTCCGTTTTCCAATGCCAAGGTATTTGCAGACTCTGGATGAATGTGCACGACACACCACCGAGTCGATCCAGGAGCGGGTGGATCAACATGGTTGAGCGGCAACTGTCAAAGAATCTTTGGCTACATAGTTATATAGCCACATACATAATACATATAATTATACATGTAAATACATGTAATATATAGTATATGCACTTACATAATCTTACATGTATAATCCCGATGGGATACATAGAATATGCCCGATTTCAACCCTACGGGTGTGGACAGAAAAAAAATACTTAGAATATTTGGGGTAGAAATATTTGGGGTAGAATTTTGGAGTGCATAAACAGTGCCAAAGCAAATACCATAGGAATAACGATGTTCCCATATCGAAAACATGTGTGAAACCCAGCAGATTGAACATTTTTTGGGTTCTGCGTAAGTTTTGGATCACGATTGCCAAATTTAAGGCAATCATTGTACCGACAAATGCACAAGCATCAAAGGAAAAAGAAAAGCAAGGTCAGGAACAGAAGAGAATACAAGCGAACACCCTCTTTGCATTAAAATGCGTGTACGTCACCAGTCGTGGGGGGTACCCTTCGGTGAGCCTGAAAAACTCATTTTTTTAATACAATATAAAAAGAAATTGGTCATTTCGGGGGACCTGTTTTTTTGTTGAAACGTTGTACTTTAGGAACTTCAGACATCCAGGGTTGCTACTTGCCAAAGGGAATTACGGATATGATATATACCCTTATACATGGAAGAGACCAAATTCCTTGCAGAACTACATACATAGAATATAGGTCCCAAGTGAAAATATTCATCAATTTTTTGAGGAACACCACCCAATTCCATTGGTTTTCATCGCAAAATAGTTTTTTTTGTCATAGTTCTACGACACCAGTCGTGGGGGGTACCCTTCGGTGAGCCTGAAAAACTCATTTTTTTAATACAATATAAAAAGAAATTGGTCATTTCGGGGGACCTGTTTTTTGTTGAAACGTTGTAGTTTAGGAACTTCAGACATCCAGGGTTGCTACTTGCCAAAGGGAATTACGGATATGATATATACCCTTATACATGGAAGAGACCCAATTCCTTGCAGAACTACATACATAGAATATAGGTCCCCAGTGAACATATTAATCATTTTTTTGAGGATCACCACCGAATTACATTGGTTTTCATTGCAAAATAGTTCTTTTTTCATAGTTCTACGACACCAGTCGTGGAGGGTACCCTTCGGTGAGCCTGAAAAACTCATTTTTTTAATACAATATAAAAAGAAATTGATCATTTCGGGGTGCCCGTTTTTTTTGTTGAAATGTTCTAGTTGAGGAACTTCAGACATCCAGGGTTGCTACTCCCCAAAGGGAATTACGTATATAATGTATACCCTTATAAGGCCTTTATACATGAAAGAGACCCAATTCCTTGCAGAACTACATACATAGAATATAGGTCCCAAGTGAAAATATTCATCAATTTTTTGAGGAACACCACCCAATTCCATTGGTTTTCATTGCAAAATAGTTTTTTTTGTCATAGTTCTACGACACCAGTCGTGGGGGGTACCCTTCGGTGAGCCTGAAAAACTCATTTTTTTAATACAATATAAAAAGAAATTGGTCATTTCGGGTGACCTGTTTTTTTGTTGAAACGTTGTAGTTTAGGAACTTCAGACATCCAGGGTTGCTACTCCCCAAAGGGAATTACATATATGATATATACCCTTATACATGAAAGAGACCCAATTCCTTGCAGAACTACATACATAGAATATAGGTCCCCAGTGAACATATCAATCATTTTTTTGAGGATCACCACCGAATTCCATTGGTTTTCATTGCAAAATACTTTTTTTTCATAGTTCTACGACACCAGTCGTGGGGGGTACCCTTCGGTGAGCCTGAAAAACTCATTTTTTTAATACAATATAAAAAGAAATTGGTCATTTCGGGTGACCTGTTTTTTTGTTGAAACGTTGTAGTTTAGGAACTTCAGACATCCAGGGTTGCTACTCCCCAAAGGGAATTACATATATGATATATACCCCTATCCATGAAAGAGACCCAATTCCTTGCAGAACTACATACATAGAATATAGGTCCCCGAGTGAAAATATTCATCAATTTTTTGAGGAACACCACCCAATTCCATTGGTTTTCATTGCAAAATAGTTTTTTTTTTCATAGTTCTACGACACCAGTCGTGTGGGGTACCCTTCGGTGAGCCTGAAAAACTCATTTTTTAAATACAATATAAAAAGAAATTGGTCATTTCGGGTGACCTGTTTTTTTGTTGAAACGTTGTAGTTTAGGAACTTCAGACATCCAGGGTTGCTACTCCCCAAAGGGAATTACATATATGATATATACCCTCATACATGAAAGAGACCCAATTCCTTGCAGAACTACATACATAGAATATAGGTCCCCAGTGACCATATTCATCATTTTTTTGAGGATCACCACCGAATTCCATTGGTTTTCATTGCAAAATAGTTTTTTTCATAGTTCTATGACACCAGTCGTGGGGGTACCCTTCGGTGAGCCTGAAAAGTTCATTTTTTAAATACAATATAAAAAGAAATTGATCATTTCGGGGTGCCCGTTTTTTTTGTTGAAATGTTCTAGTTGAGGAACTTCAGACATCCCGGGTTGCTACTCCCCAAAGGGAATTACGTATACAATGTATACCCTTATAAGGCCTTTATACATGAAAGAGACCCAATTCCTTGCAGAACTACATACATAGAATATAGGTCCCAAGTGAAAATATTCATCAATTTTTTGAGGAACACCACCCAATTCCATTGGTTTTCATTGCAAAATAGTTTTTTTGTCATAGTTCTACGACACCAGTCGTGGGGGGTACCCTTCGGTGAGCCTGAAAAACTCATTTTTTAATACAATATAAAAAGAAATTGGTCATTTCGGGTGACCTGTTTTTTTGTTGAAACGTTGTAGTTTAGGAACTTCAGACATCCAGGGTTGCTACTCCCCAAAGGGAATTACGGATATGATATATACCCTTATACATGAAAGGGACCCAATTCCTTGCAGAACTACATACATAGAATATAGGTCCCCAGTGAAAATATATTCATCAATTTTTTGAGGATCACCACCGAATTCCATTGGTTTTCATTGCAAAATAATTCTTTTTTCATAGTTCTACGACACCAGTCGTGGGGGTACCCTTCGGTGAGCCTGAAAAACTCATTTTTTAAATACAATATAAAAAGAAATTGATCATTTCGGGGTGCCCGTTTTTTTTGTTGAAATGTTCTAGTTGAGGAACTTCAGACATCCAGGGTTGCTACTCCCCAAAGGGAATTACGTATATAATGTATACCCTTATAAGGCCTTTATACATGAAAGAGACCCAATTCCTTGCAGAACTACATACATAGAATATAGGTCCCAAGTGAAAATATTCATCAATTTTTTGAGGAACACCACCCAATTCCATTGGTTTTCATTGCAAAATAGTTTTTTTTTTCATAGTTCTACGACACCAGTCGTGGGGGGTACCCTTCGGTGAGCCTGAAAAACTCCTTTTTTTAATACAATATAAAAAGAAACTTGTCATTTCGGGGGACCTGTTTTTTTGTTGAAACGTTGTAGTTTAGGAACTTCAGACATCCAGGGTTGCTACTCCCCAAAGGGAATTACATATATGATATATACCCTTATACATGAAAGGGACCCAATTCCTTGCAGAACTACATACATAGAATATAGGTCCCCAGTGAACATATTCATCAATTTCTTGAGGATCATCACCCAATTCCATTGGTTTTCATTGCAAAATATGTTTTTTCATAGTTCTACAAAGTTCTACAGCACCAGTCGTGGGGGGTACCCTTCGGTGAACCTGAAAAGTTCATTTTTTAAATACAATATAAAAAGAAATTGGTCCCTTTGCGGGACGGGTTTGAATAACAGGCGGCTGCAGCAATCCAGCAAAACCTGAGAAAACATATTTTCCTGGATCAAAATGGATAGCCGGAAATATTCTATGTATAGGTTTTTTTTTTCGATTCCGGAAGATGCTTTTATTCTATGTATAGGTTTTTTTGACCGATTCCGGAAGATGCTTTTGGAGGCCGAAATTATCGATTCTGTATTCTATGTATGCCATCGAGATTATATATATTATATTATCTGTATATATTATTTTATATATATGTACAGACGTATAGGGAAAAGGCTCAATATCTCATTAGCTCCACCGGGTGCAGGTCGCAGCAGCGGAAGCGTTAAAAGTGCTGGCAGAGAAGAGGTTCAAGGAGGAACTGGTGCTGCGTCTCGGAATGTCTGGGTGTTTCTTCGTGTTTGACACCAAGTCTGGGTGCAAAAACCGGATATTTCTGGTGATTCTCTACTTTGGTAGGAAACCGGCTCTTGCAGTACAATTCTTTGAGATTATTTGCAATCTTTGGATGCAAACTCTCCATTTGGCAATCAACATGCCATAACGCTGCTGGAATGATGCACTTGTCTTACCTCAGTTTGGGGCAAGGCATTGTTGTGTACATGGAATGGTCCCAATTCAATCACAAGAGTCACAAGAGTCACAACACCCAGGTCTCTCCGAAGTAGGGATCGTTCCTTCCACAACGATTTGAGATTCCATTACTATTACAGGGCAGTGGTCAGGTGGAAGGGACCTTGTAGGGGCCTTGTGCTCGTCAAAACTAGATCAGCCAAGGAAATGCGCGGAGAATTATTTGCAAGGTGTCTTGGAGCTAAAATCCGCTTGTTTTGGGTGTGACATCCATGGATTCCAGATATTTGTTGAAGCGGACTATAGGTCTAAGCGATCGATTCAATGTACGGGTCTACGAAAAATCGTATGATTTCGCGTCCCTACCATCTTGTTATGAATTCAAGATTGTTCCAGTCCGGACATGTACAAGTTTCAGCTTCGTTATACTGGCTTATCCTGGTCCCTGGTCAGATGTCTCAGCTGGCAATCAGAAGCTTCGGAAAGCCAAAAACTCTTTCCCCCTTTATTACCTTCTCAAAAATCCGAAGGCCCCAGGAACTCTGCTTGGTTGATGCCAGGTTTATTTGTACATTATTTGTGCATTTGCAGATTCAAAGATACTCTTTGCGTTTTCCTGGCATGTAGTTGGCATTGCAGGCTTGACATCTTGACATCTTGTGCAGGTTGCTGCAGTAGGTCCAGAAGGTCCAAGCCTGTAGCTGATGTTTCCGCAATTTCAAAACACGCAACTTGTGGGCAGGATCTATGGGACCTTCCCAGTGATTTCTCTCGAGAATCTGATGGTATTCTGGTTGTCATATCTCAACCACCAGGACGGTGTTGGGATGTTCACCTATGAACTCGTTCTGTTTCGGTGTCCTTTCTGGCAAAAAAGGCAGCATCTTGACCATGGCCTCATGGTCCTCTCTGGGCAGCTGTGATCCACGCTGTCCAGCAAGAGCCACTGGGCCAAGGTATGGTCCATCAGCAGACCTGAGACCTAAATGCAGAGGCCAAAGATGGTTCCTGCGGAAACCGAGCTATGTCGCTCTTGAAGTGATGAAAAAGACCTAGTTACGACAGTACGACAGTAAGATGTCCCAAAGGAAATCTCCATATGATCCCAGACCATCCCACTGCAAGGGCCACAAGAGCTGCCTGTTGACATCTTGCCTTTCACTGCAAAGACAACGACTACACTGACTACACTGGACCGAAGGCAACCTGAAGAAGGTCAGCATTTCTTTCACTCTCACGAAGTCCAGTAAGTACACCAATAGAAAGAACCTGACTAGTGTCATCTAGTATCCCTGAGCAATGTTAGCAGCCAAGCCGAGGGTGTACAAGGACCCCGCATCCGCAATGCAATCACACTGGAGGTGTAGATCTAAAAAGAACAATCAGAAAGTGAAGTCATGAACAAAAGGAAACACCATTCAATGCTGCACCTCTGCACGTGATTTGCACCACCTGCAAGTTCTGACAGCTTGTGGAGCATGGTAGGAAGCGCAGTACGGATTTTGGTGAACCGCACACCGAACTGCGTCAAAAACATCCAAAACATCCCAAAAACGACCGAGTCCATCTGAGTCCCGTTGGGTTGTTTTTTAATGTTGGAATCCATTGGAATCTGTTCAAAAATGTTCAAATATGGCCAGTTGTCGCAGCCAGTGCCAGTGAGGCCTCCAGAAGCCGGACGAGACCATTGCGGCGCGGCGCGGCTACACCCTGTGCCTGGGCGCTTTGGGCGTCCAGCTGCGCCAGGTGCGCTGCCAGGTGCTGCAAGTCTTGCGACGTGAGGCGCTCGGAGAAGGTCTGCCTGGTGGAAGCTGGCCACAAAGCCTGGTGCTGTGAAGATCTCTTAATGCTCGCATTTTTGAGCAATACCCCCTATATAATCCTATATATATATACATACAGTATACATGTATTATAGAGAAAGAGATATAGATACACACACACACATATCGATACATCTATATTTTTTCATAGGACCGCACTGTTTAAATTACTTGTAGATTGATGTTGATAGGAAGAATGGGAGGATGATAAGCCGGCAATTTTTGGGATACCCTGTTTCGGGAGAAACCTAGATGAGGAAGATGGGGAATGATGGTGGGTGATGGTGGGTGATGGTGATGCTTGTGCCCAAAGTTGCCACAAGTATATAGATATGAGTGACTTGGATGATTGGTAAATGAGAAGAGACTACACGTTGCAAGGAGTTCAATGAACTGTGCTTTCTGGCCCCAACGAAATAGGCCTCCCAAAAACGACATTACGCTTGCACGGTAGTAGATTTAGATGACCTGGGTACTACCAAAGAAAGTGGGGCAATCCACAGCTGTGCCAGTCAGTGCAGGCAACATTTTTTAATTCAGAGCCACGAAGATCGGTGGTTCCAATGCAGTATTTCATGAGTATTTCCGCACAAAATGCCTATCACGTGTGCCAATAGTTTCGAGTCCGTAGAGGAAGGTGAGGAAGGTGGCTTTGATATGATGCGTTCTCCTCCAATTGTGGTGGGATTTCTGTGCTATCCTGCCATATCCTGCCATATCCTGCCATGTCGACATCAGGAAAGGATCAAGAAGATCCCACCACACGGCAGTACGCCGTTCTTTCGCTGCTCGACTGATCTCGACTGCACTAGTTGCAGATGTTGCAGTGCTTGGTGAAGTCGTTCCTGACAATCTCAAAGTTTGGCATCCCAAATATCGCGTAAGTGTCATTCTCAGAAGCCAATGACTTCATAAAAGAGCGACATCATACGAGTTAATGTGACTTTGTGACTATATATGACTATATGTGACTTATGATGAGTACTTGTACTACTAATTTGATGTCTTAAGCGTCTTAATCACTGACACTTCAGCGCCTGGTACAGTTCTTGAGTCCGTGGCCGTGGCCAGGTTGGGTCGCTTGTGCATTGGATCGGAGCTCAGCGATTTCGACGTTTCCGTTTTCCTCACCGCCTTGGAAGGTGGAAAATGCGGAAATGGAGAAGTTGGAACCCATTGGAACCGGTGACAGCCGGTGACATGGTTTTTGAAATGTGGGGGGTACAACTTTCTGATATCATGATACTAAAGATACTGACATCAACTAAACATTTTGGATCATGTTTGATGATTCTCATGATAACTGATTGTCTCTTTTGCCGTGTGGAAGGATTGGTTTTTGGCGTCCAGGTGCGATGAGGGATTACGCCACAGATCGCCGGGGAGATGTCGGCTCTTGGGTACGAGAGGTCGCCATGGAGGCCGGAAGTCTTTGGGCATCACCCGGTGAAACACCCGGTTTCATTGGGATGTCCCATTTTGGGTATATTGGACATCACCTTATAGTAGCCATAAAAAAGACCATATACCTAATGGTTGGGTGATGTTCAATGGGGACATTTAATGACCCATGTGATACATTTGAAATGAAGTGGGAAACATATAAGCATCCAACTAGTACTGTAATATGTTTGACATGTTTGCCTCTCGGACTGGGAAGTTCTGATGCGGTCGCCTGCATGCTTTCACATGAAATCCCAGTACCAAAAGTACAATATCTTGTCATTGTTGAGTCATCACATTGAAGATCCCACTGGCCACATATCCCACATCACTTGCTACAAAGTTGGGAAGCGGAGTAGGTGTCGTGTTTATTGTTTTGAGAAAGACAAGATGCAAGCTTCAGCGCCTTCATCTTGTAGACGATGTGATGGTTTTACCCATTGCGGTTCGGTACTCCCCTACCTCTACTTGGTTTTTGGCGCTGCCCCAGAATTTTACCAAGCTAATCACCTTGAGCAGTAAGCTTGCAGCTAAGGATGATGACGACACTCACAAACTGTAGCCACAACATGCCACAACCACAACAACCATGACCATTTTAGATAAAATCAGACCACTTCACAACGTTTTACAATCATAATGACATGATCTGCAGATTTGTGTTCCAAGAACTGAATTGGTGGAGTTTTCCAGGTGTCAGCGGCGCTGCTGCAACAACAGCGCGCAGCAGGGCTTCCCCGATTGGCAAATGTGTCTTGAAGTCTAATACCAGTGCATTCCATCTTAGTCGAAATGAATCGAAATGAAATCCCATCTGAGTTCCGCTTCATCACTTTCAAGTAGTGCAGCGTGATCCTAGGATTTGGTGTCGGTAATAGCCTTGTGTGTTCAGGTCCTACGCCCTAGCTGCCCTAGCTGCCCTAGCTGCCCTAGCTGCCCTAGCTGCCCTAGCTGCCCTAGCTGCCCTAGCTACCAAGTACTTGCTACATCTTGGTACTCGCAATGATTGACAAATTGAATGTTGAGAATGACATAGAGTGACCATTGGTTGTTTCTATTCTTTGCGTCGAGTGAGGCAGAAAGCAGCACCAAGTTGATGGCGCAACTTCTGCAGCAAGGCGTTGAAAAGATTGATCGCCTAAGGCCCGGCGCCCGACTCAGCTCAACTAATGGATGGAATGGATGGTGAATGATGGTGATAATGATTGCTGGTGCACATGAAAGGGAACATCAAGCCGATCAAGCAAAGTAGGTAAGCCAAAACAAGATGGTGATCCGGCTTCCGACCATACCGACAGTAGAGATAAAAAACAAAGCTTTCCTGTGACACTTCCTTCAGAAGAGAGATGCTGGTTTGTTGTAAAAACGAGCTGTGGATGCTAGTTTGCTGTGCAAGTGAGGCGTGGATGCTGGTTTGGTGTGCAAATGAGTTGTGGATGCTTGTTTGTTGTGCAAGTGAATTGTGAGAAGGTAGTGTCTTGTGAAAATCAGTTGTGAGATAGTTGTTTGCTGTGATTGTGAACATCCGTAACAGGAAAGTTTCTTCTCTTGGGCATTCATAGACTGCGGTTTTCGGATGGAAGGGACGAGAGAGAGAGAGAGAGAGAGAGCGAGCTGGATAGGAAGAGGATGTATTCGGCATGATCGGTTGTTTCCCATGGGGCAACCACTGTCATAGCTTCCGCAGGGAACGTGCATACGGCCTCCTGCGCATGCTGTGCAACGGGCAGATTGATGGCATCAGACATGCTTACCAAAGAGTGTTGCATGGAGAAGCTTGCCTCAACAAAAATTGGAGGGTTTGGACGTGGTCTCTTCTCTTCCAGTCCACTTATATAAATGCATCTATCAAAGGAACAAGTGCAGAGTGAGTCAAAACCGAAACCAAAGCTATGTCCAGAGTTTGCGCAGTATCATCCAGGGTGTAACAGAATCTTTACCTGCCATTGGTGATTCCTATACCCACTAATCAATGATTTTTTGAGATCGTTAAGGCACCCAGAAACGAAGTAGACGTTGTATCCCAACTCGCATTGAAATTCTGCCGTTGGTTAAACCAGTGAAACCTGGTTTTTGATTTTAAAGGGCTGCAGCCTTTGCAGTGTTCTGTTTTGCAAGGAGGCCTACGACGCGGTGAGCCTAGCAGATTCCTTGCCAGTGGAGGCGTCGTCATCGTCATCCAGCTGGCCACCCAGCGAGATTGAGACGATCTCTGGGTGCCTTGCGACTTGGCTCTGGATTTTGAGGGTTTCTCTGAAAATTTGGTACCTGTGGGTACCCCCCAAATGCAATATGTTCATATATTTTCATGGGGAAAATACGGGAAAATGATGAGAAAATCCGATGCACTTTGATAAAACAACCTGGATAAGCCATCAAATTTGCCAGTATTTTCCTTCAATTTTGCGAGTATGTTCCTTCAATTTTGCGAGTATCTTCAATTTTAACACAAAGGCACATTGTTTTTTCCCGAAAGCTCCTGCGAAGGGTTTTTCCCAACGAACTGCTGCCAACATCAACTTCAACATTAATTACCAACGTTTGCTTCATCATCATCCACACCATCTACATAATTTTGCATCATTTAAACCAGCTCCAACTTCATCATCTACAGGGTTTTGTATATCATCCACATCATCTACGTGGACTACATCATCTACATCATCTACGTCATTTACATCATCTACATCAACTTCAACTTCATAATCGCCTTCATCCTCATCCTCAAATCCTCAAATCCTTAAATCATCATCATCATCATCATCATCATCATCATCATCATCATCATCATCATCATCATCATCGCACATCCGACAACCACATCAAGAACACCACCTCCTACATCATTTACGTAATCTTCAGATCATCTGTATCACGTACATATCTAGATCATCTACATAGACGTATTTTCTACATCATCTCCATCACCTACATCATCGACATAATCTTCTACATCATAACCTACATCATCTACAGACGTCCTCACATGTAAGTGATCAACTTCAATGAGCTCCTACAAAACATCTATAATGTCACCTACAGCGGCACGGGCAGCAAGGCGACGTCCATCACAACGCGAGGTGATAGGCGAACTTGCTAGGGCACAGCGCGGCCCTTTCGCACGGAATTAAGGTTGAAGGCCAAAAACTGAAGTTAAATTGCGATATTGAAACTGCAGGCCTAACCTTTTCCGAACGTAAACAATTTTGGTAAAGATTGCGATTTTGGAGGGTGTAAAAGCGACTCTGTGTAAAAAGGTGTCTCTGTGTAAAAGCGCTGTTGTGTAAAAGCATATGTGTGTGTAAAACCTTCTCTGTGCAAAAGTTTCTGCGCGTAAAAACTTCTGTGTGTAAAAGCCTCTTTGCGTAAAAACGCTGTGTGTAAAAGTTTCCGTGTGTAAAAGCTGCTCTGTGTAACGGTTTCTCTGTGTAAAAAAAATCCCTGTGTAAAAGCTCTATGTAAAAGTTCTGTGGGTAAACGCGTCTCTGTGTGTGAAACCGTCTCTGCGCAAAAAATATCTCGAGACTGCTTTCGGGCCAAACTGTAGTCTAGTTCTGGATGCCATCCAGGTGCTCAGGGGAGACAAAATGCCTGTTTCTACATGGTTTAAGATATATTATATGTTATGATGTTTTTAATGCACGGGTGCGACTACATGAATTGGATATAAATATCAAACAAATGGTGGTACTCATGGCATTTCAGCGCAGCCAGGTCTCACAGGGCCGCACACATTGTGACATTGGATGAAAGATCACAGCAACACGGACAATGAACTGCAAAGAAATACAAGAATTAGAATAACGACCGTGACGACCACAAGACTTTGCATGTTTTTTGAGTCAACCTGTTCCTCGACCGAGGCGAAAAGTCGGGAGACGACCCTGATTGCCGAACCAACGAAAGCTGATGCTAAGCCTTCTAAGCGTCATTTTTTGTTGGGCCCTTGGACGAAACACAAAATCGATAGCGACTACTGCATCTGATCCGGAAGCATGAAACATGTGAATGTTGTGAACATATTGAATAATATTGAATAGTATTGAATAACATTGAATAATTATGAATAATAGTCTATGTTGTAGCATGAATCAATGGGTACGCGATGGTCAGTTGGCTTGCAGATTCATGGTGACGGCATGAGGGTTTATTCTCGGATGGATTGGATCATCTCAACTCCTTGGATTCGGATTTGAAAAAGTACACAATCCATTCACCACTGACACTCTCAGACTCTCAGACTCTCAGACTTGACTTTGCGGACTACAAGAAGTGGTGAGTTTTTAGGGTTAGTTTTTGGAGTTGAGTGTCCAAGGGAATCCTACATCAACCTCAGGCTGGACATGTTGGGAGTAGCACAGCTGAAATCAGGAACTTCAAGCAGCTCACGACGCGGCCGTCTTTGATGCACTGACACCATTGCGGCTGGGCTACAGGCCATTACAAGATTTGTTCACTGCCAACCTGGGCTAAGGATCTCAGGATCTTGAATCATGCAGAAAAATCTGCATGCTTTGCGGTATGGAATGAGGGCACACTGGAGAGCAGAGAAGATGAAGGAACACTGGTACAATCTGGTACAAGCATCTGTCTCTAGAGCCAAGCACAGTCGAAACAAAAGGTTCGCTGAAGACATCAGTCAGTGAAGTCGTTCATCCATGTTCATCCCGACGATTTTCAGGGATTGACTGGAATCTGGAAACCAAGGATTGCAACGCCAACATACCGGCCTGCACTTCTGAAGGGGATCGTTGTGTCGGTGGGTGGCATTACAGAGCACACCGCCAAAGACCCTTGGAACTCGAACTTGGACCACCGCAACTGTTGTTAAGCAAATATTCGACACAATGTGGCACAATCATATAGATGTATTACATGTTGATATAAATGCGGATGTACACACATGCATTCAATCTCTGGCGGGATCCAATATTGAGCATATTGCATGCAGACACTCCGTACCGATATTGCCTCTTTTGTTCTTGCAGTCTAGGCCCCACATGAAGGTTTTGGTCCCTGCCAACAATAGTCAGGGGAAGGAAAGGTCCGAGTATTTTGTCCTTGCTCGACTGACAAATACAGAGAAGGATTTCATGGATTTGAATCGCTTGATTGCAGTTTCTTGACGATCAGAGTGCGGTGATCAGCAAACATGAATTCCAAGTGTTTGCAGTAGGCCCTTGACAAAGCTGTTTTATTCAAACTAGAAGGTATGTGCCAGATCAGATTTGAAATAGGCGTCGAAGGTTTCACTGCACTTGCCCTTCCCACGCTGAGCAGGATGCAAAAAGAGCCTTGCTCCGGCAGTTGAACACCGACGCCGCTCGCAGCGAGGTTTGCAGTGGCTTGGATACGAAAATGTGGTTGCCTTGCTTACTCTTGAATATGTTCACGACTGGATGACCTATTTCAGAGTTGTTGTCGAAGGAAGTTTAGAAGTCAAACTTTCGACAAGATGGACAGATGAAAAGCAGAGGTGGGAAGAGTCAGAGAAGAGAAGAGAAGAAGAGAGAAGATCAGAGAAGAGAAAGAGTCAGAAGAAAGAAGATGCATGTGCGCAAAAAGGTAGAAAAGTCGCGATTCACTGTGTTTTTCCAATGATTTGTGGCTCCAGAGGGTCGAAAAGTAGACTCGCTAAAGTGGCGGGTAGTATAAGTACAACTTCAAACTTTAACGTCAACTTCAACTACACTACAACTACAACTACCACTGCGCTACACTACGACTACCGCTACCGCCACGGCTACAAATAACATTTCAACAGCAACTACAATTACGTACAATTACAACTACAACTACACCACAACTACACTACAACTACAACTACAACTACGGCCACGCCTACTGCTACACTACTCTACACTGCAGCTACAACTACAACCGCAACTACAACTACAAACTACACCACACTGCACTACATTCAGCAGTTGTGGGTGAGGTGACCACTGCAACCACTCAAAGCACAACTCCAACCACCTATCGGTCCATCAGCGGATTCGCTCTGCCATCCATGCATCACAACAATTCACCTCCCCTATAGTTGTCTATGTTTGAAAATTCCGCCACTGCCTTGTGCGGTACTACTGGTAGAACGTATACCAGCACCAACCGCCACATTAATAGTCAGATGACTATCCTCATGTCATGGATCACTTATTTACCCCAAATGCTGGTTCATGAAGTTTTCTGAGCCTGAAAATGGCATTTTGGAATGCATCTTTTCGTTGATGTCAACTGTAACCTTGAACTTCACAGACCTTCACGCCTGTGCGCGGCTCTGTTCAAAAGTCGTGCATCTTCATGGCGTGCCACTGCACACAGCATTCCCTTCGCGTATGTATGCTATTGTTTGCTACCTATCGTCTTGTACAATCCGTAGTGGGTGGACAGACAAACGACGTGAATTTTCCTGCTGGCTGCCCTCTACATCAGCATCTCAAGTCAGCTCAGAGTTTGTTGTGTTTCTTGGGCCAGTGTGATCAGTTCGAATTTGGGGTAATACCCCGAGTTTTCCAACTATAGGGGTACAAAGACACAAACTGCAGAAAACCATTTGCTGCGATTCCCCTAGAAAATGAATAATGCAAGGCGTTCCCAGGTCTAGAATTCACGTTGGCAAGTGTCCAGTTATGTCGCACCAGCGGTCCAAGGCGAGTTGATGCATCTTTTTGACACCACCAGCCTTAAAGATTCGGACCCGGAAGCCAAACGCTTCATGGCTCCCTTGCTGAACACAGTTGGCATCCTCTTGGCACAGGATGGG